ACGTGAGTTAGGCACATAGGTTGAGCTGAGCACAACATTTCATCCTCAGATGGACGAACAGTCCGATCGTACTATTCAGATATTGGAGGATATGTTTCACGCTTGTGTTATAAACTTCGGGGGTTCGTGGGATCTGGAGTTTGCCTACAACAACAACTATCAATAGATCATCCAGATGTCTCCCTATGAGGAATTATATGGTAGATGGTGTGGATCGCCGGTTGGATGGTTCGAGTCGTGGGAGGCTCGGTTATTGGGTACAAATTCGGTACATGATGCTTTGGATAAGGTTAAAATAATTCAGGATAGACTTTGCACATCTCAGTCCAGGAAGAAGAGTTATGCCTACTGTAAGCTTCGAGATGTTGTATTCATGGTCGAAGAGAGAGTGTTGCTCCGTATGTCACCCATGAGGGGTGTAATGAGGTTTGGAAAGATGCGCAAGTTGAGCCCTAAATACATCAGACCTTTCGAGATTCTTCAGAAAGTGGGTGAAGTGGCTTACATGCTCGTATTGCCACCTAGTTTTTCAGTAGTTCATCCGATATTCCACGTGTCTATGCTCCGAAAGTATCACGACGATCCGTGCCACGTGTTAGATTTCAGCTCTTTCCAATTGGATAAGGATTTGACCTATGAGGAGGAGCCGGTGGCTATTCTAGCTCGACAGGTTCGTCAGTTGAGATAGAAGAGTTATCCTTTCGTTCGAGTGTAGTGGAGGGGTCAGCCCGTCGAGGCAGCTACTTGGGAGTCTGAGTCGGACATGCGAAGTAGATATCCCCACCTTTTCACTAGCCCTGCCCAGGTAGGGATGTTCATAAAAATTCGAAAAACCGAACCAAACCAAAACCAAAACCAAACCAGCCAACCAAAAAAAGCCGATACTTTTTAGGTTTTGTTTGATTTTGGTTTTGAATTTTAAAAACCGATCAAATTTGGTTTGGTTTTGGTTTTAATAAAAAAATAACCAAAAAAACCAAACCAAACCGACTATAAAAGTAGCTATTTAAATTTATTATTACACCTATATATATATATATGTATTTTTATATAAAATTTCTAAAATTTTATGGTACATATTAGTCATTTGTATTTTTAATCTAGTTCTTTGCTATAACAATCTACTTCTTTGCCTTTACATTCTAGCTTTATTGGTAGTTTTCTTTTGCTAAGTACAAGAATTTCTTTCATGCTAAAAATAATCGATTTTTAATTGAGTACTTAAATTCTTTATCACTATTTGATTCAATTATAATCAATATATCTTGGTAAATAATAGATTTCTCAAAGAACAATTGATTTGATAGTATTACGTTGAAAATATAGTGGCCGGAATGTATGTTTGGTAGTGTATGTCTCATATTTAAGAAAAAAAATATGATAAATAACCGAAAAAATCGAAAAACCAACAAAAACCGAATCGATAAAAAATTGATTTAATTGGTTTGGTTTGGTTCCAATATTTGAAAAACTGACTTACTTGGTTTGGTTTATTTTTAGGGAAAAACCGACCCAAACCGAACCATGAACACCCTTAAGACCAGGTACTTTTCCATGTCCGTTCGAGGACAAATGGTTGTTTTAGAGGTGGAGAATGTGAGGATCCGAAAGGTCATTTTATGTTTTAGAACTTAATTCTACGCTTTTAAGCCTTATAAATCTCATTTTATCCTCCTCGATTTGCATGCACAATCCGGGCGTATTTTCGAAAAGCTTTTATGTTAAAAGTTGATGAAAATAAGAATTTTTGCCTAAAACTTCATTTGAGTTGACTCTGGTCAATATTTTTGATAAACAGATCCGGATTCGTATTTTGACAGTCCTGGTGGATCCGTATCATAATTTGGGACTTGGGCGTATACCCGGAATCGAAATCAAAAGTCCCTAGCCCGAGATATCAGACTTTGTCAAAATTCGAAAGTTAAAGGCTTAGTGAAATAGAAATATTTGACCAAGGTTTGACTTTTGGGATATCGGGTCCGTATTTTAGTTCCGAAACTCGGTATAGTTCCAATACCATATTTATGACTTTTCTGTGAAATTTGGTGAGAAACAGAGTTGGTTTGACGTGATTCGGACGTCCGGTTGAGAAATTAGAGGTTTCAAAGTTTTTCTTGAAAATTTCATTTGATTTAGTGCTAAATTCGTAGTTTTAGGTGTTATTTTGGTGTTTTGATCGAGCGAGCATATTCGTATGATATTTTAGGACTTGTGTGCATGTTTGGTTGGGAGCCCCGAGGGCTCAGGTGAGTTTTAGATAGGCTACAAAGTGAAAATTGACTTGGAAAAATTGCTGGTGTATCTGATCTTATTGCAGGTCTTTGATCTCGCATTTGTGAGATCAGGCATCACATTTGCGACCTTTGAGGGGTTCGCATTTGCGATCTTCTCATCGCAAATGCGAAGAGAAGCTAGTCCACACAGGTTTCGCATTTGCGAAATATCCTTCGCATTTGCAAAGTAAGTGTGGGCAGGGATTCTTCACATTTGCGACGACATGGGTCGTATTTGCGATCCTCAGGTTTCGCATTTGCGAACACTTTATTCACTTTGCGAAGGAAACAAAAGTGTTGGAGTTTCGCATTTGCGACATCTGCAACCGGGTAAATATGACCTAGACGTGATTTTTCTCCTATTCTTCAAATTTTCAAAACCTAAAACCTTAGAGACGATTTTCCAAAGAACTTCTCTTCCCCAAATCATTAGTAAGTGATTCTAAACTAGTTTCTTTCATTCTTTAACTATATTTTACAAGATTTCAACCTAAAATCTAATATTTTCATGGTAGAATTGAGGGTTGTTGGGTAGAAACTAGGGATTTGATAAATTGGGGATTTAGACCTCAAATTGAGGTCGGATTCAAAAATAAATTACATAATCGAGGGTAAATGGGTAATCGGGTTTTGGTCCGAATTTTGGGTTTGGACCAAGCTGGCTCGGATATTGACTTTTGTTGACTTTTTCAATAATGGCCTAAATTAAATTCTTTGCAATCGTGGGCAGTTCCTAAGGCTTAATTTGAATTGTTTGGTTGGTAATAAGCTAGATTCTACTGGTTCGGAGGCTCGTTTGAGAGGAAAAGCTGTGATTGAGCATTGAGTTTGACCGTTGGAGCGAGGTAAGTGTCGTGGTTGACCTTGGCTTGAGGGATTAGGTCTTATTTGCATATTTGCTACGTGTTTGAATGTTGGGTACAACGTATAGGTGATGTGACGAGTACCTATGCATTGTTGTTGGGTTATAGCATGCAAGTGGGTCTTATTCTTGCAATTGTTGCTTTCTGTGATCATATCATCCATGCTTATGCTAGTTAATCATTATGTTGACGTTCTTATCATGTTTACGGATTTTGGTATTAATTGAGTATTGATTCAAAGTTGAGGTTGGTATTGTGGAACCAAATGTTAAAGTAAGACTTGTTCTTGTTATTTCAATCTCTCTGTTGTTATTGTTCATTGTTTTGGTGAGGAAGAGTGTTAATGCACGAAGGGTGATGCCGTGCCATATTTCGTGAGTGTTAATGCACGAAGGGTGGTGGCGTGTCATGTTATGAGAGAATTAATGCACGAAGGATGATGCCGTGCCATTTTTATTGAATCATATGGTGAGGTTGAGAGTAAAAACACGAAGGATGATGTCATGCATTTTCCTTTACTGTGTTTACTTGTTCCCATCTGTTCAAGGTATATTGGTTGATTAAGTTCTTATTACTGCTGTGATTCTTTTTCTTGTGGTCCCCTCAGCATGTTCCCCTCTCGATATTTCTTGTTTGGCTTTTACTTCCGTTATCTTTGCACATATACTGTTAAATTGCACAGGTTAATTGTTGGTGTCTTATCTTAGCCTCGTCACTACTTCGCCGAGGTTAGACTCGACACTTACCAGTACATGGAATGGGTTATACTGATACTGCACTTTGCACTTCCTATGCAGATTTTGGTATTGGTCCCAGTTGATCGAGAGGGGCGTAGCAGCTCGGATCGGACCACCGAAGACTCAAGGTAGATCTGTCGGCGTTCACTGACCTTGAAGTCCCCGTCTATCTCTTCTGTTTTACTATTTCTTTCATTCAAACAGTTGTATTTCTTTCAGACTTTTACTTGTAGTAAATCCTAGAATGTTCGTGAATTGTAACTTCAAATCCGGGTAGTGGTACATATATTGAGACTGTTATAAATTTCCGCATTCACTTTAACTCGTTATAGCTTATCTGCTGTTAATTACTGAAATGTATAAGAATTGGCTTAATGATTCTCTAACGTTGGCTTGCCTAGCAAGTGAAATGTTAGGCGCCATCGCTGTCCCGACAGTGGAAATTCCGGGTTGTGACACTATATCATTATTCTTGTTATTGTCATTAATTTTTCTTTTTAAGAATTAACATTAGTGAAAACTTTATCATGATACTGGAATTAATTAAGAATAAATCTGCAAAGTTGCTAAACATTAGAGTCATTCAGGAGATATGAGTTACTGCTGTTTACTTTCTGGATCCATTAATTTAAAGGTTTTGGTAATGAGCTCGGTTTTGTTTTTTTGGTCGTAATTCATAGGCGAGGAAATATAATTAGTGACCATTTTATCTCCAGACCACTTTGTGTTTCAGTCTTTTTCAGATTAGGTCAGTTCTGCTGGATTAATTTTAGGAGTCTGTGTTTCGAAAGAACAATAACTTAGTAGATAATGTTGCCAGGTATTTTAATTTTTCCGTTTTCATATATATACAAATTACAAGCATCTTCAGTGTTTCCAGGACAAGTCTAAGCAAGGAAAAGAACACGTAGCCATTGCTTATTTTGATATTTTCTTACTTAATTTGCAAAAAAAAACAGTATATATACATGAATATTTTGGCAACTTGTGAGAATCTTAAGAAGAACAAATTAAAATACTGTACTGGAGTACTAATTCACAGGAATTTTAACTTTTGGTTCCTTTATTTTAATGTTAACAATTTGAAGGTTAAAGAGATATATACATGTTATAAAGACAATACCCCAGCCAGGAAAGATTCCCACTTTTTCAATTTCATTACTATTTTTATTGCTAGAACACCAGCAAGTTGCAAAATTAGGATAAAGTAAATATAGAAGTACATGAATAATGATACATATTACACCAAACTATTCACTCAGAGGAAATTAACAAACAAATACATTCACAAAATCATTAATTTAAACTTGAAATAATAAAGAAAAGTGAACTTTTAACTATTCACAAATGCACATTGCTTCCTGATTTCACCAGCACTGCCTGTTTTAACTTCAACTCTCCCCATTTTCTCCATTGCCTTAGCAAATTCAGCGTAGAATTCTTTGAGTGATCCCTCGACAAGCTGTTCGATAAATGACTTCGTTGTGGTACGTTTTGTTAAAGCTGCATCAGATTGGAATAAACCTCTCCTTTTGAGCAGAAGCTTATAGTAGCTAAGATCAAATGTCTTGAAACTACCTGGATCCATCTCAACGATAGTGGTATTATCGTTGATTGATTTGCATTTTCTGGACTTGAGATTATCCGCGTATTCGCTGTCTAGAGATGGATCTTGTGTACCAAGAATCCCTGTGAAATTGTATAGACGCTCCGAAAATGAGGAGCAGTGAGAAACTCCAATGGTGTGTGCACCTATAAATAAAAACAAGTTATACATGTTATTGCGGGTAATTTAACCTGATAATGATGTAAGAATATTATATAGTGCACAGAACTTAAACTCATACTAGATAGTAAGACCAAGTCGTTCAAATCAAGACCCTTTTTCCCAAAAGATTGTTGTAGCCTAGTGAAGTTACTAGTTGGAGCTGGGATATCAGCATTGGCTTCTGAAACATTTGATATTCTTCCATCTCTTCTACCAGTTGGCACATTCCAAGAAGGACCTCCCTATTATGCCAAGTGACAATAACAACAACAACAAGAAAAGAAGATAGTTAATACGTATAGAAAATGGTTCAAGAAGAGAGTACAACCAAAGGTGGATCCAGGATTTAAAGTATATGGGTTCCTGTCGTAATCTTGAATTAATATACAATACTAACTGGGTTCACAATTAGATATTTATAAATATTTAATGGATTTTTTAATAGAAATACAGGGTCTACGCAAAAGTTATTGGGTTGCCGGAACTCAGTAACTGCACTCTAGATCCGCCACGGAGTACAACGACAACAACAGACCCCAGTATGTTTTCACAGGTGAGGTCTGTGGGTTCAAGAAGAGAGTATTTTGTTAATTTCTTCAAGTTTTGGACTTACTGTGACTACAACTGCATCTCTAGCAACCAAGGCAATAATATCAGCACAAGAGACAATTCCAGGGCATTCAGCTTCAACTAATCTTTTAACAGCATCAATGAAGGAGAAGCCTCTCAATGTTAGATTAGGATTAGCTTGTTTTTCAGTTTGGTTTCCTGTACTTGAAGTGAAATTAAGAAGTACAGATCCATCACAACCCTGCAAAGAACAAAACAGAGAAGAAACAAGAATCAGAGCAAAGCACATTAATTAAGTATATAAAGAAATTCTATATGTGAAACATGGGCACATGGCAAATAAATCATAGTACTATACTTACCCTAACAAAGCAATCATGGAAATGCATTCTAAGTATGGCAGCTGCAGTATTTGGAGCTTTTGGAACTTGTTTTTGGACAAAGTCTTTAATGATTTTCTCAGCTTTTGGACAGCTCTTGGCATAGAAATTAAGCTGCAATTGAGCATGTCCAGAGCTTACTATTCCAAGAATACATAAAACCAGAATACTCAAATAGCTAAATGAAGCCATTTTTTCCTCTGTCTCAAAAGAAACCTTTCTTTTCTTTAATGTGTTTCTCTACACACATTAACTCATATAGTACGCTAGCAATTTTATAGGCAATTTCCCGACTTGGCTATCAAGCTAATAACTAGCATTTAATTATTTTATTAAACTCTCAACTCTTTATAACAATAGAAAATGGTTTAGTTATAGACTGTTTCGTATTGGACTCATTCTGTGTGATTTAATTATGTATCCTATTCACGTTGACTGATCATTTTTTGATACAAAAACAACTCCCTCTTCGTCTTATTTTAAAGTTTTGCCAGCAGTGAGAGCACACTTTAAAATTAAACAAAAAATATTTCGTTCTTTATTTTCTGCTTTTAATTTTAATGTTGTTATTCGGTCACCTGCTCTCCTACAAAGATATGGATGTTTTAATTATGAGGATGAATGCATGCGAGGTACAAGTTATTTCAATAATTAAAAAGCTGAATACCTGCTACCATAGCAATCTTGACAGCTCATATAAATGCTTTTGACATATCCCTTTGTTAAGCCAAAATATTATTGGTGGAGCTGTTTTGCTATTTGTTTCATTTCTAATGTATTCAGTTTGTATCAAGTATTTGGTATAAACATCACAATGTAATGTAGGGACAACGCCAGCAGTAATTAAAAACTTAGCCAGGAACTGAAAATTATTATTACATGCTTAATTAGTGAGATTAATTTTTATACTTAGACTGTGCAAAAGAACTATATATACTGTCAAATCATCCCCAAGATAATTACAACCACCCGTAACTGCTGAAATTAAAACTAGAACATAAGGCATGTTACATACTACAATAGATTAAAATACACCAATAATGTAAAATTCTTTATAATGTTTTTAATATTATTATTATTATTATTATTATCATTATTATTATTATTATTATTATTATTATTATTATTATTATTATTATTATTATTATTATTATTATTATTATTATTATTATTATTATGTTTTAAATCGTACATTAAAACCTTTGTTTTTCCCTTTCTCTAGAGACGCATCTTAATGTCTGTCTTTATGCTCAAGAAAATAAGTTTGTTCTTTGTATATTTGAGACGCCAAGGCCCTCAATAATTTCCTCATCTGTACTTAAAGCTAAGATGAAGATTCCTGCTACTTTAACTTTGCGGTAAAACAAGCCATTCCCCTTACTAGATCCTCCAAAATAGTTCTTCGATTTTTTTTTTAATTTTTTTAGTTTTAGTTGATAACGTACTCCGTCGAAGGTATCACGCTTTACTTTTTCTAGCCATATACATAGATTATATATATTTATACATATATAATACATAAATTATGCATATATTATACCTTCACTGACTATTTTTAATTTATGCGATTGAGTAGACGACTATTTGGATTAACACTTCTTGAATTTTATACAGATGTAACCCTTATTTCTTTAAGTATATGCCGCTTAGGTAATAAGTATGAATTTGCATCGTGGCTGCATATGAGTACATTACGAAAAAATACTCCTAACACACTTGGCTGGGAAGAAAATTGAAACTTAGGATTACATTAGTACTTCGTACTGCTACCAAGAAATTGTTAAACGAAAGACTTATAATAATTGGATATTGATATGCCTCGTGGTTAAAGAATAGAAAGCTATGTAGTTCAAACTCTTAAAAGATGCACTAAGTATATATTGGATCCTTCAAAAAATAATAAATTTTAAAGAATCTGATACGAGTGTGACAATAATTTTAAAAAGTCCAAACAACATAGATCAAAATCGCTATTTCCTTGTGTATTTATTTGGATGAAGTCCATAGTTGAGCTAGCTAGTTGTAGACGCATGTGCCCCTCAAAGGGGTCTAAACCTATAGGCAATTTAAACAATTCCTTTTGTCACCTTTTAATCCTCTGTATTCTTCTTTCTATTTCTTTAATTTAGTTTTATTCCTTCAAATTGGAAAAATATCAGTTGATCGTGGCTCAATGGGAAAAATTAAAAGATCTTTTTTTCTCTCTCTTCAAATTTCAACTGCTTCTAACCTCAGAAACGCAGCTGTAAAAGAAAATTCTTTTGAGATATGAAGACATAAAGAAAACTCTTAATGATAAATTTTATAGGCGAAATGACTTCCTGGCCACTTAAACTTGTCGGATTTTTTAAAGCCGATACATAAACTTATAACTTTCCCATTTGAACACTCGAACTCGTTTTTTCCATAACTAATACACATTTGACCATTGACCATGCCCATGTGGCGTCAGTTGGTCCTAATCAGCAGCCCGCGTGAGGAACACGACGCACAGGAGCGTGAAAAACCCCTTCCCAACACCCAACAGTACAAAATACCCCCTTCCTCCATTTTTAAAAATCTGAAGCTCCATTTTCAATTTTTTTTTTCATTTTTCAGACCGTGAAAATGGTGGAAAGTAGGGAAATTAAGAGGGCCTAATTCTGCAATGTTTTCTTCCATGTTTTCATTATGCATAGAAGAAGAGATTCTGGGGGATTTCAAGTTTCAATAAGGAGGGTCTTCGGATTCTCTCTGAAATTCCAAGCTAGAAAGACGACACACAACGGCATGCCGACAATGATCTTCAAAACAAGAGACTACTATGTCATCATGGCGGCTCAATGTAAGAGGATAATTGTTGGTCGATTTCTGAAGACCCGACCCCGAATTATAGGTCAAGATTCTCTAAAAAATTCCCTTTGAAGGGATCTGCAAAAATTGGAGTTTATGATAAATTAAATGTGTTTCTCAGCTTCACTAATGATGAAGATTACAATTTTGTTCTATATAAGTGGGTGATTGAAATTGAAGGTCTGCAAACATACCCAAATTTTGCAAACATTGTAGGAAATTAGGGCACTATCTTGTTAACTGTTGAATCCTTGAAATAAAAAAGTTGGAAGAAAAGAAGGAAGAAGAACGAAAGAGTAACATGGAAAAGGATCAAGCTGAGCCACCTGTGAAACAAAATAATGAAAAGCAGATAACCATTGTTGATGAAGAAGAACGCTAAAGCAGTCAAAGAGAAGAAGTTGCTGCTTGACTTTTCACGCCCTTACGTGTAAGACATCCATTGGTCATTTGCTGACTGGATGGACACGTATGTGTATGTGTAATACACGAGCACATGGTCAATGGTCAGATGTGTTTATTAGTTATGGAAAAAACGAGTTCGAGTGTTCAAATGGAAAAGTTATAAGTTTATGTATCGGCTTTAAAAAACCCGACAAATTTAAGTGGCTAGGAAGCCATTTCGCCAATTTTATAATTTGTTTTCCATTTCCTATTTAACTTTCGAGCGAGCAATTAGTAATTAATATAGTACTTAACTAATAGGATTCTTTTGATTAAAGCGATAGATCAATAATCTACAATTTGGCTTTATCTTTTGCATCTTTATGCTATAGCTATAGGACTATTCTCTTGGGCATATAACAATGTGCATGGCTAATAAAAGACGTCTACGAGATCTTTAAGTTATTTATGTGATTAAAACAAAGAATAAAGTGCTAAGAAGTATTTCACCTTTTCTTTCTCCCCTGTTGTCCCAGTCCTTTTGCCAACTGTTGTGGCGTTTTAATTTCCAGGTTGTGTCTGATTAGTTTTTTAATTAGGGAACTCTCACTACGAATTATTTCTTTTTCATTCTTTTTTCAGTTGTTGTCATTCTAGATTTAGTTATTACTAAATCAAGGTTTCATGCCCCTTTAATTTGCTTAATAAAATCATGTTGCATCATACAGTCGTTAAAAATGAATGATTGAATTTCTTTCTATATTTCTATTTCTGTGTTGATGGGCGAAATCCGCTGACAAAAAAAAAAAAAACCTTTTGTATTCCGATGCCTAGCGTTCCCTGATAACTAGGATTAGTGGTGATTATTGTTCGCACCGAAAAATCAGGTGTTATGCGGAAGCTAGCAAAGCAAACCTTGAACGACGATAAATCATACAATAAAGAAAAAAATACCAAAAGAGACACAAACATATAACGTGGTTCGGTCAACTGACCTACATCCACGACGGAGATGAGCAATCCACTATATAAAAAGAGAGTACAAAATATCGAGAGAACAACCTCACGAAGAGGCAAACACAAGTGACACACTAACACTTGTCCTGTAAAGTTCTCCCCCTAAACACGACTCTCAAACCCCATATGGCTACATTGTGGATGTTGCTNAAATATCGAGAGAACAACCTCACGAAGAGGCAAACACAAGTGACACACTAACACTTGTCCTGTAAAGTTCTCCCCCCCCCCCAAACAAGACTCCCAAACCTCATATGGCTACATTGTGGATGCTGCTAAACGAGAAGAAAAGATCCTTAAGTTATAGAAGTCCAAACCTTTTCTTACAAGAAAAAGACTAGCCAAATATGGGAGATTTATAATTTCCTTCTACAAGAAGAAAATCCACTTATAGTAAACATGTTACCCTTTCGGCCTTTCCTTTAAGAGATAGAAAAATCAAATATGGTAAGAAAATTAGGATAACATCTAACAACTATCCCCATTAGCCTAAATTTTCTGACAAAATAAACTTGATCTACCTTCTTCACATAATTTTCAACAAGTCGCATCTCCAAATCTCCACCACAAAGTTTGTATCAACGTGAGTAACACTCCGGCCAAATTTCTCGGACAAAAATCTCGATTACCGTCAAATAGGTTGCGGCTAGAACTAAATCCGCCAAGATGAACCTGTCATGAACCTTGCTTTGATACCACATGTTAGGACCGAATAATCAGGTGTCATGCGGAAGCTAGCAAAGAAAACCTTCAACGACGATAAATCATACAACAAAGAGAAATGTACCAAAAGAGACACAAACATATAACGTGGTTCGGTCAACTGGCCTACATCCACAACGGAGATGAGCAATCCGCTATATAAAAAGAGAATACAAAAAATCGAGAGAACAACCTCACGAAGAGGCAAATACAAGTGACACACTAACACTTGTCTCGCAAAGTTCTCCCCCTAAACAAGACTCCCAAACCCCATATGTTATATTGTGGATGCTGTTGAATGAGAAGAAAGGA